GTGTGTGAACATTATTTCTGAATAATAATTCTTTGTACATTAAAGATGAGGCGTTCGATTCTTTTTCTTGAAATTGATTAAATGGAGTGATTTTGCCGGGTGAGGAAGGTACTGACGAGAGGTATCATGGATCGATAATGTGTAAGAAATGTATACGATGTGGGGTGAGAGATGAATAAATAAAATCCTTTTTGAACGATTGTAGACTCTTTATTTGTTTCATTATATTTTCCAAGAGGTATATTTAAAGATATATTTATTTAATACGTATTATTTTAAAGTTTCTTAATTTAATACAGAGTATAATCCTTAAATCTACTTGGTACGCGCGTTGTTCTCTTCTCTCTCTGAGATCGGTTTTGACTGTCCAATACAATTCCAGTCTCCTGAGTAGGTACTCTTTCTTCACCTTCCTCACTATTTTGAATTCTCTCTATTTCTTCCTCCTCCCATGGAACTTCATCATTAATTATTGATCTCCTTTTACCAATATTTTCTTTTAAGTCCCTACTATTTCTTCTCACTCTACTTCCTTCTTGAGTTTCTATAATGTATGATCTCGGCTCTTTACACTTTTTCACAATTACCGCTTTCTCCCATACATTACCCTTTCTATAAAATACTTGTTGCTTTATACGAAAATTACCCTGGTACATCGTTCTCTTATCATATGCCTTTTTATACTTTTCTTGCTTGTTTCGCAATTTACCTAAAATGTCTTTATTACTGATCCTCTTTTTAATTAAGCTGTTCTGTTTTATTGGAATTTTCGATCTTAATTGTCTTCCCATAAGAATTTGTGCTGGTGACAATCCTACCCCTGGAATATTCGTTGTTCTATAATTTAATAACGCCGTATCTAAATCAACTTCTTTTCTGAGATACGCTTTTACTATTTTCACCCCACTTTCTGCTTGTCCATTACTTTTAGGATAATGTGGACTAGACGTTATTAATTTAATTCCCCATAACTCAGCAAAGTTTTTAAATTTATATGATGCCAAAGGCATATTATCACTCACTATTATCTCCGGTATTCCATGAGTTGCAAAACATTTCTTAAAGGCTTCTATCACTGATTGTGCCGTTTTATCTTTGATTTTTATAATTTCTAACCATTTTGAAAAATAATCCATGATTATGACAAAATTATGTATACCAAATTGTGCAATATCCACTCCTATTTTTGCAAATGGCCTCCCAACAATTTTATGTTTCAACATGGGTTCAGCTATCTTGGCTGGACTAAATTTATTACAAATTTCACACTTTTTTGTATATTGCTCAATATCATTTTTCATACACGGCCAATATAACGCTTCTTGCATTCTACTTAGCATTCTATTACTTCCATTATGTGATTCATGACCAATTTTTAACATTTCTTCACGTAATGATACTGGCACTACCAACCTATCTTTGTATAATATAACATTTTCTAATGCCACTAGGTCATGCCGCAGGTTACTATACACTAATAACTCGCTCCTTTCTGTTTTAGAAACTTTTGGCCATCCTTTCACACAAAATCCCTTTACTTTCTTCAATATTTCATCGCTTTCCGTTGCTACTTGAAATTTCTCTTTCATCCTATCCGAAATATTAATTATGGCCCTTACATTGTGAACTACTTCTTTCATGTCCTTATCATCTTCTACAATCTCTTGTACAAAATTTCGAGATAACATATCAGCTACATATAATTCTTTTCCTGGGATGTATTGTACTTCTAAGTTATATTTTACTAATTTTAAACGCATTCTTTGCAACCTGGGTGATATAATTTCTGACAGGTTTTTATTCATTAAACCAATTAACGGCTTATGGTCCGTCAATACTTTAAATTTGTTCCCATATAAATAATTTTTAAACTTTTCTACTGCACTCGTAATAGCAAGAAACTCTTTTTCTATTTGCGCATATTGTTTTTCCGTGTCGGTTAAACTTCTTGAAAAATACGATAATGGTTTACCACCTTGCATCAAACATGCTCCTAACCCTTTACTGGACGCATCTGTCTGTAATACCAATTCCTTTCTGACATCAAAATTTGCTAGAACCGGCGCCTTTATTAGACTATCCTGAATTTTTTCAAAGGCTTCATCATGAGCCTTCGCCCAACTAAACTCTTTATCTCTCTTTAGTAATCCTCTCAAGGGTTCCGACATTTCAGCTAAATTTGGAATAAAGCTACGAAAATAATTAAAACTACCTAATACTTGTTGCACTTCTTTTTTGTTATTAGGTCTTTTCAACTGTCTTATTGCTCTTACTCTTTCATCATCAAGACTCATACCTTCTTTTGAAAATTGATGACCAAGATATTTAACTTTTCTATGCCTAAATTGCACTTTATCCATATTAAACTTAACTCCATTCAATCTAGCTCTTTCTAACACTTTATTTAGCGCGGCATCATGACTTTCTTTGGTATCACCACATATTATAATATCATCTATGTAAACAATTACATTTTCTATGTCTCCAAATTTTTTATAACTCTGCTTTTGAAAGAATTCAGGTGCCAGACTTACTCCAAAAGGTAACCTTAGAAATCTATAATTTCCAAACGGTGTGCTAAACGTACAAAGATAACTGGATTCCTCGTCTAATTCTACCTGATAGAATCCATCCTTCATATCTAAGACTGTAAACCAATCTTTTCCCGACAACGTCGCTTGAATCTCTTCTATCTTTGGTAGTAGACACTGTTCTCTTACAATACTTTTATTCAGATCTGACGGATCCATACAAATTCTTAGTGATCCATTTGGTTTCTCCACTACTACTAAATTGCTCACCCAATCTGTTGGCCCCTCAACTTTTTTAATTATTTCTTTTTTCTCTAACTCTTGTAACGTCTTATTTAATTTGTCTTTAATTGCTAATGGAACTCTCCGCGGTGCTCTGACTACTGGTATTGCATCTTCTTTTACAATTATTTTGCATTTCTCCGGAAATTTTCCTAACCCCGTAAACAAATCTTTATTCACTTCTATAAATTCTACTCTAGTCTCCACAGTTTGAATCTTGTCTATTCTTTTGATAAACTGCAACTTCACGCACGCCTCTAATCCTAACAATGGCACTCTATCTACATCTACTACTAAAAATGTTAAATCTATCATCTTATCCTTCGCTTTACACTTATAGGTAACAACTCCCACTGGTTTAAACTTGACTCCACCGTATGCTTCTAATACAGTTTTCGTCCTCACCAGTTTTTGGCTTCGTAGTTGCTGAAACGTTGAGTATGGGATTATGTTTGCCTCCGCTCCTGTATCCAATTTGAATTTAATCTTGCGACCCTCTATGATCAGATCTTCATACCAGGCGTTGCTCCGTACTTCAAATATCTCTTTCCTTGTTTGTCCCACGCTATCGATGACCAAATATTCTTCTTCATCATTTGCTTCAGCTTCAATTCTTTGCACTTGCCTCACCTTGCAAGCTACTTTGAAATGGTTTAGTTTGCCGCATTTTTGACACTCTTTTCCAAATGCTGGACATTCTCTTGGCCCATGCCACTTCTGACAACGTCTACATTGAAACTTATTTTTTTCATGAGCCTTGCCATTTTCCAATTGAAGTTTCTTCTGGTTGTAAATTTTTTGTGGGTTTTTTACACCTTTCTTTTCCACTTTTTCTACCTTTTTCACCTCTGTCATCTCTTTCATTTGTTCTTTTAACACTTCTGCAGCTTTGCAAATTTGAATTGCTTTCTCGAGCTTCAAATCTCTTATACTTAATAATTTCTCTTGAACTTTAGAATCATTGATCCCCAAGACAATCCTGTCTCTAATCATATCCTTTTCTTCCAGGAACTCACAGCCTTTCGCCAATGTTTTCACCTCTTTCAGGAAAATTTCAAATGGTTCATTGTTCTCTTGACATCTTTTATAAAAATTATACCTTTCATATATGACATTCTTCTGAGGTAGAAAGTATTCATCAAATTTATCGAGAACAATTTTATAATTCTTTCTTTCAACTTCTCCTAACTGAAAGTTATTAAAAACCTCCAGCCCCTCTTCACCGATAATATTTAAGAGTATCGCTACTTTTCTTTCGTCCGGTTTTCCATCAAAATCATTTGCCATTAGATAAATTTCTAACCTTTGTTTAAATTTTTTATAATTTTCGGCAATATTACCACTCAATTCTAATTGCGGCGGAATTTTTGTATCCATTTTAATTGATATTCCTACCTTGCACACGTGGCGAAATCGTTATGGTCCTTTAACCTCTTTTTCAAATTTCTCAATCCCTCGATATTTACTTAATTTTAAGCGATCACTTCTTTTTATCGCTCCTTTCTGTTTTAGAAACTTTTGGCCATCCTTTCACACAAAATCCCTTTACTTTCTTCAATATTTCATCGCTTTCCGTTGCTACTTGAAATTTCTCTTTCATCCTATCCGAAATATTAATTATGGCCCTTACATTGTGAACTACTTCTTTCATGTCCTTATCATCTTCTACAATCTCTTGTACAAAATTTCGAGATAACATATCAGCTACATATAATTCTTTTCCTGGGATGTATTGTACTTCTAAGTTATATTTTACTAATTTTAAACGCATTCTTTGCAACCTGGGTGATATAATTTCTGACAGGTTTTTATTCATTAAACCAATTAACGGCTTATGGTCCGTCAATACTTTAAATTTGTTCCCATATAAATAATTTTTAAACTTTTCTACTGCACTCGTAATAGCAAGAAACTCTTTTTCTATTTGCGCATATTGTTTTTCCGTGTCGGTTAAACTTCTTGAAAAATACGATAATGGTTTACCACCTTGCATCAAACATGCTCCTAACCCTTTACTGGACGCATCTGTCTGTAATACCAATTCCTTTCTGACATCAAAATTTGCTAGAACCGGCGCCTTTATTAGACTATCCTGAATTTTTTCAAAGGCTTCATCATGAGCCTTCGCCCAACTAAACTCTTTATCTCTCTTTAGTAATCCTCTCAAGGGTTCCGACATTTCAGCTAAATTTGGAATAAAGCTACGAAAATAATTAAAACTACCTAATACTTGTTGCACTTCTTTTTTGTTATTAGGTCTTTTCAACTGTCTTATTGCTCTTACTCTTTCATCATCAAGACTCATACCTTCTTTTGAAAATTGATGACCAAGATATTTAACTTTTCTATGCCTAAATTGCACTTTATCCATATTAAACTTAACTCCATTCAATCTAGCTCTTTCTAACACTTTATTTAGCGCGGCATCATGACTTTCTTTGGTATCACCACATATTATAATATCATCTATGTAAACAATTACATTTTCTATGTCTCCAAATTTTTTATAACTCTGCTTTTGAAAGAATTCAGGTGCCAGACTTACTCCAAAAGGTAACCTTAGAAATCTATAATTTCCAAACGGTGTGCTAAACGTACAAAGATAACTGGATTCCTCGTCTAATTCTACCTGATAGAATCCATCCTTCATATCTAAGACTGTAAACCAATCTTTTCCCGACAACGTCGCTTGAATCTCTTCTATCTTTGGTAGTAGACACTGTTCTCTTACAATACTTTTATTCAGATCTGACGGATCCATACAAATTCTTAGTGATCCATTTGGTTTCTCCACTACTACTAAATTGCTCACCCAATCTGTTGGCCCCTCAACTTTTTTAATTATTTCTTTTTTCTCTAACTCTTGTAACGTCTTATTTAATTTGTCTTTAATTGCTAATGGAACTCTCCGCGGTGCTCTGACTACTGGTATTGCATCTTCTTTTACAATTATTTTGCATTTCTCCGGAAATTTTCCTAACCCCGTAAACAAATCTTTATTCACTTCTATAAATTCTACTCTAGTCTCCACAGTTTGAATCTTGTCTATTCTTTTGATAAACTGCAACTTCACGCACGCCTCTAATCCTAACAATGGCACTCTATCTACATCTACTACTAAAAATGTTAAATCTATCATCTTATCCTTCGCTTTACACTTATAGGTAACAACTCCCACTGGTTTAAACTTGACTCCACCGTATGCTTCTAATACAGTTTTCGTCCTCACCAGTTTTTGGCTTCGTAGTTGCTGAAACGTTGAGTATGGGATTATGTTTGCCTCCGCTCCTGTATCCAATTTGAATTTAATCTTGCGACCCTCTATGATCAGATCTTCATACCAGGCGTTGCTCCGTACTTCAAATATCTCTTTCCTTGTTTGTCCCACGCTATCGATGACCAAATATTCTTCTTCATCATTTGCTTCAGCTTCAATTCTTTGCACTTGCCTCACCTTGCAAGCTACTTTGAAATGGTTTAGTTTGCCGCATTTTTGACACTCTTTTCCAAATGCTGGACATTCTCTTGGCCCATGCCACTTCTGACAACGTCTACATTGAAACTTATTTTTTTCATGAGCCTTGCCATTTTCCAATTGAAGTTTCTTCTGGTTGTAAATTTTTTGTGGGTTTTTTACACCTTTCTTTTCCACTTTTTCTACCTTTTTCACCTCTGTCATCTCTTTCATTTGTTCTTTTAACACTTCTGCAGCTTTGCAAATTTGAATTGCTTTCTCGAGCTTCAAATCTCTTATACTTAATAATTTCTCTTGAACTTTAGAATCATTGATCCCCAAGACAATCCTGTCTCTAATCATATCCTTTTCTTCCAGGAACTCACAGCCTTTCGCCAATGTTTTCACCTCTTTCAGGAAAATTTCAAATGGTTCATTGTTCTCTTGACATCTTTTATAAAAATTATACCTTTCATATATGACATTCTTCTGAGGTAGAAAGTATTCATCAAATTTATCGAGAACAATTTTATAATTCTTTCTTTCAACTTCTCCTAACTGAAAGTTATTAAAAACCTCCAGCCCCTCTTCACCGATAATATTTAAGAGTATCGCTACTTTTCTTTCGTCCGGTTTTCCATCAAAATCATTTGCCATTAGATAAATTTCTAACCTTTGTTTAAATTTTTTATAATTTTCGGCAATATTACCACTCAATTCTAATTGCGGCGGAATTTTTGTATCCATTTTAATTGATATTCCTACCTTGCACACGTGGCGAAATCGTTATGGTCCTTTAACCTCTTTTTCAAATTTCTCAATCCCTCGATATTTACTTAATTTTAAGCGATCACTTCTTTTTGATCACTCTACCGACTGCGCCATGTTTCATTATATTTTCCAAGAGGTATATTTAAAGATATATTTATTTAATACGTAAACATCTTTATTTAATATAACTATCCTTAGTCTCAGCAGTCTCACTTGTCCCGTGCTCGCTCTGCTCCTACTGCCATCTTCACTCACATACAACAAGACGGACCGCTGCCAGTGAGCAGGACTTACTAATTATATTGTGAAATTCATATTAACTCTAAATATATTACTGTTCCTATTTCTCTGAAATAGTATAGTGTTTATTCTTAAATAATCACATCAGGTTATGGGCCCAGAGTCGCGAAGTGGATAGTAAAAACAGAAATTAACTGATACGTATTGTGTAGAAAAGAATAAAAGTGTTGTGCGACCAATAAAGCAAGAAGAATGAAATCAGCGAGTGTAAAGATAGAGAAACTGCGTGGCAAAGAAAACTGGCTCCAGTGGCGTTTTGTTATGCGTTTTTGGAAGAAAGATTGGAAGAAGATGACGACGTGGTTGGCGTGTCTAACGGTGCGTTGATTCATCCAGCGGAATGTGTAGCTACGTACGAAGCTAACCTTAAAAGATTTCTGAAGACAGACAAAACTGCAAGAAAATTAATTGTCACAGCAGTGGAAAAGAAGCCCCTAGATCTACTTCTAGGTTGCACAACAGAAGAAGTTGAATGCAGTTTATGATATGGAAGAAGCTGAATGCAGTTTATGATATGAAATCAGATGAAAATCTAAGTATGGTCCAGATGCAGTTCTTCGATTTCAAGTGGGAAGAATTTAAAAGTGCAGCACATAATTTATCAAAATTGGAGCAGCTGGCAGCAAAGATGAAAGCCCTTGGGAGTGACATCGGAGAGAAAATGCTCATTACAAGCATTTTAATGACGTTGCCGAAAAAGTACACGTATTTCCACAGTGCATGGAATTCTGTTGATGAAACGAAGAAAATCTTAGACAGTCTCACTACCAGATTAATAACAGAAGAATCTAGGTGGAGAGAAGACGAAGAGCATTAAGAAGAATCAGTGGCACTAGTAATGAAGGCTAGTCACTACAAAAGGGACCTGCAGAAACAGATGAGAAGAACTGGAAGTGGAAAGCAAGTCTAAGTTGTTTTAACTGCGGAAAAATTGGACATTTGAAGAAAGACTGCTTCAGATGCTTTGTATGTAAGAAGAAAGGCCACACCAGTAAGAATTGCTTTCAAAACAATCAAAGGGATGGTAAATTCAAGAACCAGAGACATGAGGGCAGCAACGATAAGCCAACGAACAAACTCGGTCTACTGGGAAAAAGAAGTTCAACGACGCAAATCACGAACGATGATACATGGGTAATCGACTCAGGAGCTTCGGAGCACATGACGGGACGACGGGAATGGTTCAGCGTCTTCGAAAATTTCGACGAAAAGGTAAAAATAGAAATCAGTGATGGTACATTTATGTAAGCGATGATGATGATAAAGGAAATATCGATGTAGAGACTTTTGTAAACGGTAAATGGTTAGCAGGTACAATGCATGACGTTTTATATGTTCCGAATATAAAAAGAAATCTGTTTTCTGTTAAATTCATTGCTAAGAAGGGTATAGATTTTATTATTTCAAAGAAAGATAGAGAAGGCATATTTTTTATATTTTTATTATTAACCTCTAACTTTGGGGGCAAAGTAGTCAAGTCAAATTTGGACACACTGCAGTTATGGCATGAACTATTAATAATAATAAATAATTAAAAAAAATAAAAATAAATATTAACATTGTGGATAACGATTTTTTCTGTGAAGGCTGTGCGTACGGAAAACAGCATCGTTCAAGTTTTCATGAGGAAACTGAGCGCGCGACTAAACCTCGCGAAATTATTTACACGGATATATGTGGTCCTATGAAAGTCGAGTTATTAGGCAACAAACTCTATTTTCTTATTTTTAAAGATGATTTTTCAAGGTTTACACAGGTTTACTGTTTACGACATGAGTCAGAAGTAATTGATAAGTTGAAAGCCTTTTGTTTGGAAGTTGAAAATCAGTTTTACAGTAAAATTAAAGAAATT